TTCCTTGTCCACGTGCTCTAGCAGCCCGTAAGCTCGCAAAGGATCATAATTAAAGTTATATGAAAAGTCGTGTGTTATCCGAAATTTATAGCGTTATATGAAAAGTCGTGTGTTATCCAAAATTGAAAGTGTTATATGAAAAGTCGTGTGTTATCCAAAATTGAAAGTGTTATATGAAAAATCGTGTGTTATCCAAAATTTATAACGTTATATGAAAAGTTGTGTGTTATCCGAAATTTATAGCGTTATATGAAAAGTCGTGTGTTATCCGAAATTTATAGCGTTATATGAAAAGTCGTGTGTTATCCAAAATTTATAGCGTTATATGAAAAGTCGTGTGTTATCCAAAATTTACAGCGTTATATGAACAATTGTGTGTTATCCAAAATTTATATTGTTATATGAAAATGAAAATCTTATCTTAAAATAGAATAACATTTTTGACACCGATGACGCGCCATAAATTTCCTGGGGGGGCGACCTTTTTAAAAATTCGATCTTGCCCCCCCCCCAAATTTGAGTTTGCCCCTCAAATGCTCCCCCAAATTTGGAAGCCTGGCGCCGCCACTGTATATTTTGGAAAAGAATATATTAAAATTTGTACATTTTAAGTATTGTTTCGTTCAAAATATGCATTCGAAACTATCAGTACTATTCTGCATATCCTCACACGTGGTATTAATAGGGATTATCCTTAATTGTCAAATTTGCTAAAGATTAAGGAAATGCCTTATATTAAGTTGAACCCTAACCCCCACCTAACCCCCACTCTAACCTCTAACCCTAACCCTGGTTTAATCTTAATCTGGCTCTAATCTAATCCCAATCTAAAAATGATTACCTTTTTTAATATTCCCGCCCCTGCGCGTCCAGCCTCCCTAATACTACGTGTGAGAATATGTTGCATTATTAGTCTTGAAAGGTCAACGAGAGTACTATATAGAGGATGTTAGATGGCGGTGTACTACAATACTTCATGTGAACTCGTCATATGCGCATCGCTGTTTTTTTACAAAGAAACGCCTGGGTACGGAGACAGGGTGTAGTATGCGATAGCAGACTGATCAGCACTGCCTCATTCTCGTACCCAGAGCCCTTCTTACACTCTGCCTCTGATATTAGTCTGCTGTTTCTCCGCAGCTCCAGTGGGGGAGGGGGGCCGGGGGGGGGCTTCTGAGTCAGTCTGCTATCGCAGACTAACGGCGGTGCGAAGATATAAATTTTAATTTTTGAGTGAGTAAAATATATTGTTTTCAGTTTTCACCACGAGAAGATAAATAATAAGATATGAAACTTCAAGCCACCGTGTATTTAATGTTCTTTTTATTATATAGTCGTTAGTAAAAATAACAAAGAAAATGAACACTTAATCGATATCTTCACTAGTGAAGATCTAGTTATGGAAAATATCTCACTGTGTATTTTTTGGTGTCCGGCACTGTCTACTATAAAATAAATTAGGGTACGAGTGCTTTTGTGTCGAATTAAGAATACAAACAATGAAGTACATGATATGAAAAAGGTATCTCAGTAAAAAGATTTGTTATAACATTTAAAAATTGTGCGGAAACCATGTCAGGTCAGGGGGCAGATCATTAATGAGATACGGACTAATAGCGGCTGCTTAAAGCGCATCTGTAAAGCCTGGTTCACATATATGCCTGCGACGTGCCTGCGACGTACCGGCGACGATGCCGGTGGTAGCTTAAAACGTGAATTATGTGAATATTTGTTCGCCGATTGCCTTCAGTGCCACAGTTACATCGGCGGTAGGCCGGGAAAGTTGACTTGAGTTCAACTTTGCCGGTATTTCGGCGGCAAGTAGAGGCATAATGATACAGTCGCAGGCATGCCGCAGGCATATGTGAACCAGGCTTAAGCTCACAATCTACCTCGGTCTGCTTCACGCCAGTTCCGGTCCTAATATAACCAGTCACTGAAAACCCTGATATAGGGAGTGTGCCTACCTCTTCCGCAGCCTTCTTGTCAAATTTCAAATTTCAACATGCGAACGGGCATACTCATTACGGGCTGTATGGCTTGCGGAGGAGGTAGGGAATGTGCTGTGCAATATCTGTAACTTGTAGGAAATCTGCAACTCAAAATTACCACAAGGTGTTGTGGAAGCACAACCGACAAAAAGGTTACTGAGCATTTCCGATCGCGCACGACCACAAGGCCTACAGCTGCGGTAAACAATGGTTTAAGATAAAATTCCCCCATATAATAAGTGTAAATTTGATTCAGGCTCGCTCGCTCCGCAGCAAAAAAGGTTGGGTAAAATACAATTGTCATTTTCCCGAAAAGTAAAGAAAAATATCTAACTCGAAGTTTAACTCGAAGTCCAACTCGAAGTCCAACTCGAAGCCCAACTCGAACTCGAACTCGAATCCAACTCGATGTTACCTAACTCCCGTCTTAGTGATATAAGTTGCTCTTCTAGCCTTAGGATTTAGATATCTCACATGACTCCACATGAAACATTTATTATCACTGTTCCTCATATTAATAAGACCACACTTTGGATTATTGATGTTATCAGGTAGTTTCATATACGAACTACCCTTAAGAGGCGTGTACATAGCAATGAACCTAGTTTTTGGAATGTTTCGATTCTAGATAAGATTGTCAGTTGAATTTGTGCAACTGTACTATAATATCATCTAAGTTAGTTATAGTACCAGTCTTGGATTTGAAGTAGACTGAGTCCTTCTTTGTTTTTCCATCACCGACTTCATTGGACATTCTTACCTTCATCGTCTCCGTATACTTTAACCCTCGCATTACCCTTAGCTCATTCACAAGTATTCCCCTTACAACCTGCCTGCTTGCTGTTAGCTGACTTAGTGGATCCATATGATTCGGAGTTATTGAGTAAGTCACAGCCGCACCATTGGCGGCAGTCTCAATTTTCCTATGGAAAGACTTTTCAAGGTCTGTTCCGAATGGATCAATTTCATGACCTTCTGGGATTACTGTTAAGTGTCTCTCCTCAGTCTTCTTCTTAGGTTTCACAATCTTACGAATCTTAGAAGAAGACACTGGTTTCTTAGTCCTGGGTGCTGGTTTTGGCTAACCTTAGGGACACTGGTTCTGGGTGCCGGTATAGGTCTCACCTTAGGAAGCACTGTCCTAGGCTTAGGTGTTGGTCTCCATGGAGCTATACCCTTAGGTACCTCAGGAGCTTTCCTCGTAGGTCTCTTATTAAGATCCACAGTAATTGTGAACTTACCTGGACCCACTGGAGTTACAACACTATTCGCAGGTACTGAGAGTTTTACCTTACTCTGACTCATGAACCTTTCAGCCACAGTTTGCTTCTTTGGTGGTCTACCTCTCTTTTTAGGCACCTTCACTTCAGTATCAGTTTTTGCCTTTGGTGGTCGACCTCTACGACGCTTTACCTTAGGATTTCTCTCATTCTCTATTCTTTTGAATTCTTCATTAACGAGGACATTGTCAGTACGCCAGGCTCCTCCCATAGTTGGTGGTAGACCTCCCACTCCCTTGGACAGTAAACTCTGGTATGCTTCCTCCACGAGAGCAGCTTTTGTCTTCTGCCTCTCAGAGTACTTCCACACAGGAGTCATTCCACGCTTACCCTTGTAGTTCTTAGGTACATATCTAAGTTTAGGTCTTAGCACATCAGCGTCTACTTCATTTGCGAATTGCTGTTCTCCATAGAAGTAATCCTCACCCTTATCCTTGGGAGTGACCTTGTAGTTTTTATCCCCCAAGATCTCATTTACTCGCATCTCCAGATCGTCGCCACTATCAATGATACTGTTAAGTGCCATAACTTGTTCTATGCTCATTTCGCTTATATTGACTCCCGCCATATTTCTAACTGTTCCTCTATACTATAGGTGTAAAAAAAAAATAAGGTATTTAATTTTATTTTTTATTTAATTTATTGTTTAATTCTATTGATTTATTATATTAGTATTTCTTTAAGTGTTTTTTTTATTTTTTATTGAATTTATTGTTTAATTATATTGATTTATTATATTAGTATATCTTTAAGTGTTTTTATTTTTTATTTAATTTATTGTTTTAATTCTATTGATTTATTATATTAATATTTCTTTAAGTGTTTTTACTTTTCCAGTTATTATAATATTTACATTTCTCAGGTTTCCATCCAATCTCAACAAAAACTTTTCCGTACAACCTATCTTCAAGGATGTCCACTATCCTTTGAGTTTTAATGTCCTCGGGAGGGTTCCTCAAAGTGATACCATTCATGCTGGCTATTCTCAGTAGGTAAAACTTGTATCTGACTATGTTGCGCCCCCTTTGCAGCTTAAGAGGCAGTCTCTACAAAAACGAACCGATCAAAATCTCATTAAAAACAGATTTCGCCTGCATTTTACAGGAAAGTACAAAAATATGTCTACATTAACGAATTCGTATCGGTTTTTCAAAGTTCTTGACTCTTCACGAGATTTTATGATGTATGTATCAACCACCGAGCACGTCAAAATGGCGGCCATTTTCCGTACGCAAGTTGTTCAATTTAGGCAGTCGATTACTTACACTTCACAGAAAGCCAAAAACAAATTACTACTCAAAGTTTACGTACTTACGTACCTTGTATAAAAAAATAATTGAAAGAATAAACATTTCTCCAAATTTTGCACGTTGGGCAAATCTTACATTTGCCTATTTCGAACAATAACAGAAATCACCAAAAGTACAGTCAAGACGACGGCGGTTTATGCTAAAGTGAGGCTAGTAAAAATAATACATTCTATACTGGATCAAAGTTTAAGACATGTTTTACTGAGATCAAGCGAAAAATGTTTTGGTCTAACATGCTTACAAGTATATTTGGCTCTTTAAATAATAGTAAATTTGAACATGTGACGTAATCTGCTTCGTTTTAAACACGGATCGCTCAGGCGCTTAAAAATGAAAAATCTTACCTTATCTGCCCATAACTTCTTGAATTTCTACAAGCTCATTTTTTTCAATCCAAAACTACGGATATGCGTTGTAACGAGGAAAGATAAGTGAATGATACGTCGTTAAAAAAACACCAAATGTTCCCTGATGTTAAAATAATTACGTCCTCCGCGGCTTTGGACTGTCGACTGATCGTGATTTTTGGAAGGTCTGTTCTTGGTAGGCAAATAGTATTTTATAACACAGTTATAGTGTTTATAGTTTCTCAGAAGCACCATACAGCAAATCCTTATCTATGTACTCTTATTTCAACTGACAGTGAAGATAGAAGTAGAAATACATTTTATGCCTTATTCTCAAATTTGTTGTTGACGTTTTGGTATATACTTCATGTAACTTCCACTGAAAAATGTCAAACGAGCACAGAGTCATAGAGACAGAGTTCTGAGTACATCCGTAGCTCAGACACATAACAAAACAATTTCAGCTCTTTACAATAATTGTAAAGAGCTGGAATTGTTTTGTGAATATGTAGTTACAGTATCGAGATTGCATGGAAATCAACTTGCTATTGAGATACACTTCATTGATCGTCTAGGAAAAGTTAGTTTTTCCTCAATTGTCTTCAAGTTTGTTTAATTACTACCCATTAAATGGTCCCAACGATATAAATTATAGACAACCATACAGTAATGTTGAATTAAAAGTAAAATGCAATTCATATGTCAATTGTTTTGTTAACTCGTTTCTCGTTGTCTAACTCTGATTCCACGACCTTTTTACTCTTTTCTCAGCGATATCATCTGACGTTGTGTACAGAAACAATATACAATAAAATCACCTATGTGCAGCCATCAGTGCGAAATTTATTCACAAAATATTTTGCAGACACACAGTCACCATTGCATTTCCCGCGAACAATTTCGCGTCGTGGAATCAGACTTTCATGTTGAACAGGAACATTGGTCAAGCATTTCCTTGAGTTTGGCTATAAGCATTCCTTTGGTTTCCCTCGACTTGAAGCCAATGTCAAAAGTGCTGCAAATTTCTTTCAGCATGACAATTTTAAATACATTCAGACGGTTTTGTTCATTGCATTCACACAAATCGTAGGTGTCATAAATTATTGGATGTGTTACCCCCATCTGGCTTTCAACAGCTTCTAGCAACGAGCATCTTTCCTGCTCTTCCTCCAAACTCTCCAGTTCTTCCATCCAGTGATTTCCAGAAACGTCGTCGATTTCTGATAGGCTAACCAGGTCATCTTCGGAATCGTTCGTTCCAACATTCTTTCTGCGTGCTGCTGCTAGTCTTGAAAAAAAGCTTTTCACCTGATTCTTTGCAAACCACTGATCTCTCTGGAATAGCCGATCCCCGTCTTCGTTTCGCGCGTTTCGCATATCCAATGCAACTTGTTGTGAATCAGCCTTCTCGCCAGTCCTTTCACCGAGGTCAAACTTTGCTTTGAGGTATAACCTTACACAGTCTGGAAACCGAGACTTGGAGGCTGGCGCGTGGAGAGCCCAACCCATGGGCAGAGCTGAAGGACAGCCGCTTTCGCCTTCAGAATGGATAGTGTTATCTGCTGAAATTGGCTGTGTATTACTTTTATGAACAGTAACGTTGCCAAACTGCGCAGCCCACTGTCTTCTGAGCTGGTCGTAAATGCTTTCATTGGGATGAACGAGTTCATGCACTCCCAATTCCATGTGGACATCTAAGTCTTCCATTGAGTCGAACTCTTGACAACATCCGGGTTCTGAGCACTCATAAATCTGAACTTCCGTGTCAGACGTCTTGTCTTGTTTGGTTTTGAAGCTTCTGCCACTGACTTCTGGAAAAAAATCCTGATCTTCTTCAACTTTCAAATTGGTTGGTCCCTGGCGCTGTAAGAAGATACTCGAGTAAGGAATGAATCTTCCACTACCAACAGAAAATGCTTTCCATATTCGAATTCCTTTGTCTTCGTGCTGAAAGTTATGGAAGCTGCTGAATCCTTTCCATTTCGTCATTTTCAAGGTTTTGTTTTCTGTTCTGACGGAGTTAACAAATGATGTTGTTCCCTTAACAGGTCGTTGCTGTAAAGCTTCACGCATATCTTTCGCTCGAATGACATCATGACCTTCATTGCAGAACCGTCTTATCGATTCTTTCATTGGACATAGGATTCGATCACACACATCTTTCCCATACTGCGGTTCGGAGAAATCGTACCTTTCAACTTTGATACCCGCCCTCTTACTAATATCTTGAACGGCGGCTATCAGCTCATTATTGTGGTAGCACCCGGCTTCATCGGACCTTAGAAATGCTCTTCTAACTGTCGGGTGATCACGTTTCAGTGCCTTGAACAAGTCCTCGATAATAGAAACGACTGTATACCAGTCCTGGGTGCAACTATCAAAGTGATGTACGTACGACTTGATGATATATGTTGCGCTGTTATTTCGATGGATAACACTACTCACATGCCAACTTAAGCCACGTTTACCGAACCAATCGGATTGTTTCTCTCTGTAACGCAGCTGCAAAAACTTCATTGCCCAGTCCATAACGATAAGAACAGAACTATCATCTAACTTCTCCAACACTGCTTGTTTTCCACATTCCTGATTCTCAGATCGCAAAATATGAGCTTTCCATGCTAAAATGGCGTTTTTAGCAAGTCCAAAATCATGCAAGATATCTTCTTTCAGATCATTCCCATAAAACCCCTGACAAGTTTTGATAGCATGTTCTATGCCAATCAAAACTTGAGTGAGTCTTTCGAACTTCCGGCAATGGTCAGGGCATGGGCTTTCAGTCTCCTTGCGATGCACCCGGAAGTCGGTTTTGAGATACTTCTTGCCTGCTCGGAGTGATTTCCTTGTCTCTTCATACCAGCTTATCTTCTCGTTTGACGCTTGTTGTAAACTATTCAGAATATTTTCCATGGAATCAAATGCACTTGAACCATCTGCTGCAGTATTATCTAGCCCATATAAAGACTTTCGCTGGGAAGCTTCTCTAACATTCAAAATTCTGAAGAGAGTAGCGCGACTTAACGGCGAAAATTCTGTCTTTGTACAATGTTTCTGATACTCAGAAATTAGGGTGGACTTTGTAATTGTTCTGATGACATTTGGCATGGCTAATCGTTCTCCACTTTCTAGTTTAAGGACCCGTGTTCCGTAGGACACATCTAGATAGAAATATGGGCGATTCGAAAATTCGATAAAGTGATCAAGTTTTGCCTTGTTCAAATAGATCCTGTGTTTCTTTGTTGTCTCGACTGGTGTCCCTGAGCCAAATGTTTTAGCGTGGGCCCCTGCTTTCTTTATTTGCCTTTCGCTTAGCTTTTCAAATGATGAATGCATTTCGATTAACTTGCTTGCTGGGTATTCGTACGCTTAGAGACTCAGTATTTGTGTCTTGATCTTTTTAGAAGTCGTGTTCCTGTATGCTGTAGTTAAGAAATCTAGGTTACAATCTCTTTTATGTTCTTGAACAGCTTGAAACAAACTTTTACCATCACTCGGAGAGATAATATTGCAAATAACTTGGCAAGCTTCGGTTGCTTTCTCGGTAAACATTTTCTGCTCTTCTTTGGTTGCATCAGTCCAGCTAGTTTTCATCCTGGTTTGCAAGGGCTTTATTTCCTCTTGGTTCGTTTGCGACGACAATTCAATCATTACTCTGTTGTAATTTTCTAGAACCGTGTCCGTCTTGTTCCTAGCTTTCTCAAGCAAAATGGCGTTTTCGTGCGAGCTGTCACTACCTGGACCACTACACTGACCTGGTGTCCAGTTCGCGTCTTTAGTAGTGTAACTGGAAGGACGAGGTGTGTCACAAAACGAAGTCAACGAAGTTACCCTTTATATAAAATAAAATGAAATAAGTCCTTTCCCTTTAAAAATCTTTTTCGTCAATTTGGCATGAATGCAAAAACTAAATGCAATGACTGTAAACAATGATATATCTGTATCAACTTCGTATCCAGGCTCTTTCCACTACGCTCCTCGCTGGAGGAAAGAGCCTGGGAACGAGGTTGATATCTATATATAATATTCGATGATGTATCTATAAAGAGACGTTAGAAAAGGCGTTGCCAGGGACACGCCTTCTCCTTTCGGACTTTTTTGTCCAATGTTTTATGTACCTGTTCTTTGGTGCTACCCTTTTGTTCCCACCATCCCTATCCGTTTCCTCATCAACGTATTTTTTGTGCGATTTTCGGCAATTGGAACATACAGCTGCAAGTACATTTATAATTTTATAAATAATATAGTTTGATAAGATTAATAGCAAGACTTATTATATACTAGAGAGTGAGATACTGAAAAATACACAGTGAGATATTTTCCATATCTTCACTAGTGCAGATATCGATCACGTGACTTTTTCCAACTTGCTTTAAAGCGTGAAATTTCACAATTTTTTGCTTGGCACTATGTAATAAACATAACATTATACGGTGGCTTGAAGATACGACTTTTATCTTCTCGTGTTAAAGACAATATTTTATTTTTATTACAATATTTTTTAAAATATTTTTATATATATTTTTTTTACTTCGTTTGTAAAAAATTGTTTTCACCACTCGAAGATAAAAGTCATATCTTCGCACCGCCGTGTATAATATCCTCTATTTATATAGAGGCAAACTTTTTTTGAGAACAACGAGAAGATATGAATACTTACAAGATCCTACTGGTATAGTTGATCCATATAGAGTATAGACATCTTTCGCCATTTGCAATGTGACTGCATCTGTACCTTTCAATGTCTTGCTTTTACCTTTGTGCAATGGATATTGGCACGTTACTTTCGAAGGCCGCCAAAATTTACCAAACTTGTGTCGGTGATAAGGACACACCAGAAGCTGCTCTTTTTCCTGCTGGGAAACGTCAAACATGCCAACCCTTGCTAGAATCAGGGCACATTCGTTTAGATTCGATTTCGAAAGGCGAAAGCTTGCCAGGTGCCGTTGAATATCGTCATTGCAGTCGCACAAAAGTACAAGCCCCCTTATATCCCTGGAAGTGCCACAAGAGTTTGAATCTATCTCTTTCAGAAAACACTCGGACGTCCTCATTGCCATGATAGCATGTGATTTTCTCGGTTTATCCCAAAAGAAGTACAGTACTTTCAGCTCAATACAGTGCTGTCGGAATCTAGTGATCACGTTTATTCAATTTGTTGTTGTCAGTGGGTCAATTTGTTTTGTAATCTATTTTCATTGATTTATAAATAGAAATGATTATTACAAACTGGTTTAATACTACTACAGTAATATAAAAAATTTGGTTACACCTAAGCGAGGGTGTGGTCAAAATTTTTTATATACTTTTTATTGAGAGTTACATGAAGTCTATAGGTGGAAACGAAAACAATCGACACTTCTACAACAACAAATATGCAAATATTAAAAATTAAACTTGCTCAATTCTCACTCATTGTCAGTGAAAATTAGATTTAATGTGTGATCCTTCTGCAAAGTTATGATGCAGCATCACACCTGTGCTGTGAAATGCTGTATTTGCTTACCGAGAACAAGTCTTGTAAAAATGACAATTACGGTGCAAAGCCGGTGGGCAGTATTTATAATATTATCTTGGTTTAACGACGTATTATCATTCATTTATCTTTCGATCCTCAATGCAACGCATATCCATAGTTTTGGATTGAAAAAAATAAGCTTGTAGAAATTCAAGAAGTTATATATGGGCAGATAAGGTAAGATTTTGCATTTTTAAGCGATCCTGAGCGATCCGTGTTTAAAACGAAGCAGATTACGCCACATGTTCAAATTTACTATTATTTAAAGAGCCAAATATACTTGTAAGCATGTTAGACCAAAACATTTTTCGCTTGATCTCAGTAATACATGTCTTAAACTTTGACCCAGTATAGAATGTATTATTTTTACTAGCCTCACTTTAGCATAAACCGCCGTCGTCTTGACTGCACTTTTGGTGATTTCTGTTATTGTTCGAAATAGGCAAATGTAAGATTTGCCCAACGTGCAAAATTTGGAGAAATGTTTATTCTTTCAATTATTTTTTTTATACAAGGTACGTAAGTACGTAAACTTTGAGTAGTAATTTGTTTTTGGCTTTCTGTGAAGTGTAAGTAATCGACTGCCCAAACTGAACAACTTGCGTACGGAAAATGGCCGCCATTTTGACGTGCTCGGTGGTTGATACATACATCATAAAATCTCGTGAAGAGTCAAGAAATTTGAAAAACCGATACGAATTCGTTAATGTAGACACATTTTTGTACTTTCTTGTAAAATTCAGGCGAAATCTGTTTTTAATGAGATTTTCATCGGTCCGTTTTTGCAGAGACAGCCTCTTAAGTCTTTGTATACATCTTACAATGCTTCTGAACTGCTCCCTTATGGTATCCCTATCCCTTGGAGCAACATGTTCCATCAAATGTCTCTCGAACCAGCGGACCCTTTTATGACAAGACTTTTTTTTCAGATAGTCGTCCTTGTTGTAGTTGTAACTAACATAGTAGGAGAAATTATTCAAATCACAGCCACCACATACTGTACATTATCTGCCCCATCTACTACAATAATAGACTTACTTCCACATTCGCTACATATTGGATCATATATGTGTCTACTCCTTATTCTATTTACTGCGTACTTTCTTACGACAGCCTCTAGCTCTCTCACTGTGTTTTTCTTTTACCTGCACGTACTATCTCCTCATGTGTTGTCATCATTAACCAGTCCATTCCTATATACTTATAGTTGTGAAAATTTTTACGGTATTTTCTACAGCATTAAGTATGCTAACCCACCTACCGCCCCACCTGTAAGTAAACCAAAGAGTGCCATATATTCTTCCATCTCAGAGCTGGGCTTGTAGTGATTACTAAGCTTTGGCTTTACAGGCATAACCTTACGTGTTAACTCATCGATCCTTCTAACTAACTCCAATGATTGGTTCGTAGACTTTATATCACGATCTGCTTCAGCTAGTTCTTCCCTTAGTTGAACTATTCTGTTTCTCCTATCAGTAACTTCTTCAAGGTACTTTTCTCTTTCAGCTGTTAGGTTCTCCATTGCAAGGTTATGTCTTTTAGCTTCCTCAGAGAATCCGTTCTTATCAATCATTTTAAATAGGAATCCTGGTCATGCAAATGCAAATGCATTAAAGAGTCCTCCTGCTACTGCGCTTGCCATTGTATAGTTTTACCTAGGTTTTGAATGGATCATCTGGTAGATACTTCTTTTCTTTCAAGTAAGAGACCAGTAGAGATGAAATACTAACTGAAACAGCTAATTTTGCCATTCCTTTCACATTCTCTGGGGTGCCTAAGGGTTCTTTCAATAGTTTCTTTGATGCCATTGATATACCAACTGCTCCTGCTGTAAGTAACACTGCGTTGTACACTTCCATGCTCATCTTTGATTCTTTACTCATTTTTGCTATAATATATGTTATGTTTAATTAATGTATCATTCAAATGAATCTAACCTAGACGCATCTACTTTCTTAGTTACTTCTACAGTCTTAGGTACGTACCTAACTTCTGGTTCCCTAGTTTCCCTCTGATGTGCCTTATATGCTAGCATAAGAGATACCAATGCAATTCCCACTCCTATATAGGAAATCATATTATCATTGCTAGATGAGGCCTTAGGCTCGGCCGTCTCCTTTTTCCTCTCTCTTGCAGCTTTACTTAGAACTGCTAGTCTCTTTCCAGCTTCTACTCTCTTAGGGTCCTTCTTCTTTTCACTTGTGATAGTAACCTCTTCTGTTTTACGTTCGTCAGCCATTCTATATAGATGCCTATGTTTAACTATATAGATATATACATAGATACCTACATCGATGTCTACATAGATGTTTACATATATGTGATTGCTTAAAAAATGCCCAACTATAATAGCCGAGCATTTTCTAAGTTTAATTTTTACCACTAACCTAAACACTACTAGTACATACCTGACTTGAACTTTGGTTTGTGCAGCTTTACATCACTAACAACAGTTTTTACCCTTCTTATTTTCACTTTTTCTTTCAGTGATAAGTACTCATATATTCTGATACATATTTTTACCAGGTCATCCCCAATCATAGTCATGTACCCTAATTGTCTAAGTCTCTTAAGACATTCTATTTGCTTCCAGTCTGCCCTTAGGTGATTTGAACTCTATTGCAAACCCTTTATACTCACCCTTAGGATTAGCTATAATTATCAGTTCATCATTTATGGATTCAAATTCTGTTCTTTCCCAGGGGTTTCCCCAGTCGTAGGGTTCTCCGAGTTGTGACATTCTGTATGTAATAAGATATGTTTTGCATTATCTGAGACTTCTGGTTCTTCCTCCTTTTTGTTCCACATATGACCTACTACATGCTTGGCGGTGGTGCAGCCTCCTGATATGAGACCTATGAATGGAATACTGGGGATATACTTCTAGTTAGCTGGGAAACGTCCTCCTTTAGAAGCTTATCACCTAGGAGTTCATCAGACAGTGCCTCTGATGATTCAACTACATTCATACCACCTAGTACAGACGCAAACTTTGATATCACCAGTGTTGCCAAAAAGTCACCAGCATATTTCATCCTTTGGTTTTCGTGCTCATCGTATAATCTATCTATTACATCTTTATTAGACTTTCTTATGAAACTTACTGACTTCTCTACAATACCATCTCTTGATAGCTCAATAAGTTTATCCCTTCTTTTATCAGTTTGAGACTTCTCTCCGGTAGCCTTAGATTTTCTTGCGGTAGGTTTAGACTTTCTTTGCGGTAACTTTGCGTCCCCTTCCACTTCACTCAGTATACTGTCAATTTCTATGTCAGACTCAGTTCCCATTTTTCCGATACCCATCTATATATTATGCAGTGTTTAACCTAACAGTGTAGGTGTAAGGGTGCTTTAGTAGTATATCTAGTGCGGTGAACTTCTCATCTCTCAATATTTTTGTGATTTCTGTAATTGTCTCTTGAGGAACACCATGAAGATAGTCATCTGTTATCACCTTCATATCTTTGCGGCTGGGGTTGTAGAATGTAACTAGTTGGGAAATGTTTTCCCTAAACGGCTTTGCTACTGATAATAATAATAATAATAATAATAATAATAATAATAATAATAATAATAATAATGATTTAATAGCATTTCCACATAGTGGCTCTTCTATGCTACAAGTGAGTTTGATTATAAGATAACGAAGTATGCAATACATACAACGGAGTACATAATACGACACAACAAGTATTACAATACGTAGTATGTTATACATTACAGTATTTAACAATTGACATTACTTATACACAGAAATATACAGTATAGTTATACACACAATGTCAACAGGGTTTACGACGTGTCACTAATTCTGTTTTTGACTAGTGTTTTGAAGTACTCGGAGGAGGTTCTGCAATAATCTTTAAATGTATCGCAGTTTCGAATTTCTTCAGGTAAGAAATTGAACACTCGAGCTGCTTCATCTTGGAAGGTTCCAGAGATAATAGGGACTACTAGACGCCGGGCAGATGATGATCGTAATGGTCTGATAGGAATATATTCCTCTAATTTTAAGTATGAAGGCCAGTCATCACAATTCATTGCTTTGTATGCTAATTTGGCTACGCTCCAAAATTGGAAGCCAACGGAGAGACATGACATCAGTGAATCTAGCGTACCTATTAAATACAAAGCCAGCAGCAGCGAACTGCACTCGTTGTAAGCGTTTTAATAGGTATTCTGGTACTGGACTAGACACGACATCGTTGTAATCAATTTTTGATAGCACCAGACACTCCGCGAGTTGCTTCCGAATTTTAAATGGTGCCAAATGTTTCAATTTTCTCAAGACGGATAATGTCGCGTAACAACTTGAGATCTTTTTGTTAACATCATCATTCCATTTTAAATTTTGATGCAATGTAGTACCAAGAAGAGCCGCACATTTAGTTCTTTTAAGTTCAATTCCATTAGCATGAAGATGAACAGAACGATCTTCATCAAGTTGGTGCACACGAGAGAGTTGACTAGTCGAGAAAAGCATGATTTATGTCTTATTGGGGTTAAGAACAAGGTTATTAGAACTAGACCAGGTAGAAAGTTTATCTAGATTGGATTGAATTTTCTCTTCACATGACTTTATGTCAGCTGGCTTACAATGTGCATAGATGGTAGTGTCATCGGCATACTGATGTGAAGATATAGAGTCGTCAAGGTTTTCAGAGAGATCATTCACATATTGGTTGAAGAGTATAGGACCAAGTATACACCCTTGTGGAACTCCAAAACAAACGTTAGTTGTGTTTGACACTGTGTCGTCTATTTGAACAAACTGTCGTCGACCAGTCAGATAGCTTGTGACCCATTTGAGATACTCTTTGGAGAAACCTTGTGAATGGAGTTTTCTTAAGATGGTAGAATACAACACAGTATCGAACGCTTTCGAGAAATCTGCGAGAACAGCTATTGTGACTTCACCTCTTTTCATAGCTCGCTGAATATCATCTCGCATTGCCAACATAACTGTCGTAGTGTTGTGACCTTTGCGGAAAGCACTAATGGATTAAGTACTCCAGTGGTTGTATTGGTTACGAAATCAGACATTTGGCGGAGAACGAGTCGTTCAAAGATTTTGGATAGGCTTGGCAGAATGGAAATAGGACGGAGAGCGTTATTCGATGATATATTCTGAACTTTTGGAATGGCGCAGATACGAGCGATCTTCCAAGGTGAGGGGAATAGCTGCTTCGATATGCAGTTATTGATAA